TTTTGCATGATGTCGCCGTCCACTCATCATGTGGATTTCCTTCTGTCGAAAATCACGAAGGACGACAAGAAAACCATTATCTCAAGAGCAAGGACCAACTAGGGATATGCAAACGCGGATAAGTTCCTTTCATACCCTTCCTGCGATAACTTTGGGGGCCAACGACACCAGCGTCAAGTTGAGTGAAACATATTTAGTCGACAGTTTCCTTTTACAGATTTCTGCGTAAGTCGTAGCACAGCAGTCAGACCAGCTACGCAAGTGGAATGCTCTAAGACTCTACACGATGAGGAGGAATCTTGAGTTGTTTCCTATACATTTGCGGTGCGTCGTGGTAAAGTGTGTCTCCATATGAGCATAATACAGTAAGAGACACCTGAACTCTCCTCTGAGCATCATCCAGGGGCTCAGCAGCCACACGACGAGGTCAAAGCGAGAGTCGAGGCGCCTCACGTGGCTCCCCTACACCCCCCATGGCAGGTCATCTGAGGTCATGCTGTTAAGCGAGGAGAAAGGCACAGACATACATGGACGATGTGAAGAACAAGACACGTGAACATATGAAGTATCGCTGAGCTGTGTGGACCATGGTTGTGTGGGAATGCAGGGTCTGCCGCCAGCCTCGCCCCGGGGATCTCGCCTCCGCCAGGGTGAAGGCAGCGGCATGGCAGTCTCCAGTAGGGAAAGTTGATACAGGTGTTCAAGTAGCAGCCTCTGCTACTTCTCAAGAATCAGTGTCGCGGGGGTACGGCGGGGGCGTGACCTGAGATGACCCCGCCCTACTCCCGCCCGGCCGCCCTGCACATCAGCTGGGTCATGGCGGCTCGGTGGGCAGTCGCATCTCCAGTTTGAATATCACACTTTGGTCATGTGCTGACCCCCTCAGGCCTAAGAAGGCACGCGCAGGTAGCGGGGGCATCAGGGAGGGGCTGCTCATGACGTCCGGACATGGGCAGCGGGGGGCACAGCGCCTCGGACTCCCGGCGTGGGCACGGGGGAAGGCTTGGCGCCCGCCCCGCCCTGGGCGGCCTCGGTCAGGCGGCGGTGGCGGTCCAGCAGCTCAGGCAGGTTGTGGCTGATGGCGCCGTCGATCTTGGCGAGCGGGCAGCCCCGGAAGTAGGAGCACGTGTCCTTCAGCCTCTGGAAGTCGTACAGGTTGTGGACCCTGCGGGAAAGGACAGCCGTTAACACTCTTCCAACGCTCGCCATCACCCCCCCCCCACGCATATAGTCAAAAGCCCCCCCCCCCCAAACCAAGGGCCTCGCACTATATTCCCCCCAAACTGACTCACCTAAAGAAGTCCCTGTACACCTCGGGGTCGGGCAGATCGTAGCGAGAGATGTTGGTGAGGAGACTCATGCCCTCGTAGATGTTGTAGGTGTGAGGGTTCTCGATGATGTCCTCGGCCAGCTTGTGCTTGCTGGTGAGGAAGCCCTTGTTCATGTAGAAGGTGGTCAGGTACGAGTCCACCATCTGGGCGTGGTTCCTCACACGAACCTGTATTCAAAAAAAGAACGTTTATTCTTGAACTGAATGGTTACTCTCTATCAAATTCTACCTCAAAATATCATACAACATCCTACCGCGAACCCGAATTCTAAACATAAATCAACACCACTTCTTCCTCAACCGAGTTATCATTCTCTATCAAACCCAACCAGTAAACATCGCCATTTCGTTGCCTTTCAGAAAAAAAATCATTTCGAAGAGACTGAAGGAAACCGACAGCAACTTACCGCGTGCCTGCGAGCGATGGCGATGCGGTTGTCGACGCGGTTGTTGATGGCCTGGGCGATGTCGTGCAGCAGGGCCTCCTCCTGAGCCTGGAAGAGCCATGCGACTCGTTTATTTTTATTGGTATTATTATCTATAGCATTGTTATAATCATCATCATCAGTATATCATTATCAGAATTGTTATTGCTAGTATTATTGTAATCAGCATCATTATCATTTTTGTTGTTTTTGCTATCATCATTGCCATCGTTGTTACCATAACAAAAATTTTTTATCATAACCACCACGTATGTCGACTCATCTGCTAGGAAAATTTCCATCACAGTAAAGAAGCAGAAGTAGAGATGCTGAGAATAAACAAGGAAGACAAAGACAGAAAAAAGAGAAAAGGACGAAGACGACGAGCGAACAAAGTAGCCAGGACAGAGAATATTTTAAAAAGTGAAAAAAATGAAGAGGACCAAAGTACACATAACAAAGAGGAAAAGTGAGGTAAATAAGAAAGAAAAGAGGAACAGGAACAAACTTAGGAGAAAGAAACAGGAAAGAAAAGAAGAGCGACTTGCGCATCGCTGACGCCCACCTCGAAGAGCTTGGCGGGCGAGGCTGGGCGGTAGGGCCTGGAGGCGAAGGAGCCGGCGTAGACGGTGGGCGGGGTGGAGACGCCCAGGAGGGGGCTGAGGTTCCAGAAGAGGCTGCCCTGGACCTTGATCAACTCCTCGGGCGGCACCTGGTCCGCCTTGTTCAGCAGGATGCGTGTCTGGAAAAGTCGCTTGGTTAGGGGCCTCCTGCCTTGAGGTCTATATTTGCTAGTTGTATTTGTTCATCTAATTTCCTCCCCAAAATACACTAACCAAGACCATAATTCACTACCTCATAAAAAAAATTCTTAAATACACACAAAAAATTCTCCAGACGCCCTTGCTCCGCCCTACCTGAGCTTCGCGACCCTTGAGCTGGTCGAGGATGGCCTCCATCTCGTAGCCGGCGTCGAGTTTCGTGTAGTCGAACATGACGAGGATGAGGTCAGCGCGGTCGATGAACCACTGGACGACGTCGTTGTAGGGGTACAGGCGCTCGCCGGGCCGTCTCATCTCGAGAATGCCTGGAGCTTCCACGAAGGTCACCTGCGGGAGGAGGAGGGCGTGGTCAGCGGGCCAAAGGACGCGTTGAAGGCGGTCGTGGTTTGGGGAGGATATGAGGTGAAAGGAATGGGGCTGAGGGGCCCAGTTTTGTAAAATGTCCTTTTTACTGTCTTCTTCATTTGCTATGATTTATTGATTATTTAGTCCTGCTTACTTTTTTATCAACTTAACCATTCATTTATCTATCTATTCATTAAAGTGCTACAAAATGAGTATTTTATAGGCGTGTATAAATACTCTAAACATTCTACAGCTCATTATATATATAATATATATATATATATATATATTATATATATATATATATATATGTATATTTTTTTTCTTTCTTTCTTTCATTTTCTTTCTTTTTTTTTAGCTGATCTTTAAAAAATATATTTTGCATACATAATATGTCCAATTCTCATACATCAAAAGAAAGTGTTGGTAATTAGCAGACGGTACCAAAGACTCCTATATCCGAATAAAACAAGGTCAGTCGATGCTTTTGACAACCATAGTATTCCTAAACCTCCTAGCAGCTGCAAACCACAAAACACATAAACCATAACCTAAGCAAACCACGCCAAAAACACATAATCCTAAGAGAACCACTTAATTAGCACCAGCAGAGGAGCGAACGGGTGGTCAGGTCGTTAAAGAGAGCGAAGGGGCGGTTCCCAAGAGCCGAGCAGCGTGGCGGAGAATAGACAGAGCGCACATGCCTAACAGGCTACTGGAGAAGCCTGCTGATTCACCTTCCTCAGCAACCAATTAGGCATGCGCTCCCTGGAACCTCGAGACGCCCTTGCGGAAGCCCCTGAAGACGTCTCCGGAAGTCCTTTGCGGGGAAGATGTGACGTCATTCTCTCGTATCGTCGGAGGGGGTTGCTGTTCGTTTAAGGTTTGTTGCGTTTCTTCTTTCTCCTTCATTCGTGATTGTTTTTCGTTTGTTTTGGTTCATGATGTCACTCTTTTAGGTATTGCTGAGGCAGGCTTTTTAGTGCTATATTGAATTGCAAACTTACTTACTTTGAAGATGAGAGCCAATCATATATAGATAGATAGATACACACACTTGTATGTATATATATATATATATATATATATATATATATATATATATATATATATATATGTATGTATGTATGTATGTATGTATGTATGTATGTATGTATGTATGTATGTATGTATGTATGTATATATAATATATATATATATATATATATATATATATATTATATATATTATATATATGTATGTATGTATGTATGTATGTATGTATGTATGTATGTATGTATGTATGTATATATATATATATATATATATATATATAATATATATATATATATATATTATATATATATATACATATATATATTATATATATATGTGTGTGTGTGTGTGTGTGTGTGTGTGTGTGTGTGTGTGTGTGTGTGTGTGTGTGTGTGTGTGTGTGTGTGTGTGTGTGTGTGCTTATATTTTTGTTTGTGTGCGTGCATCTACATGTATATCCGTGTGTGTGAAAATGGCAAACGCAATGACATGTCCATAAAGATGAAATGAAACAATCACAATAGAAAAAAATTAACGCAACGGTTAATGCTTCGCCCGAAGTTCCTCCTCAGATGAAGCCAATAACCAAAATAGATCCAACAGTATGGAGAAAAATACAGAGAAAAGAAATAGATAATAATTTAAAAAAAAATTGTATCACCTTCTTCAGCAGGGGACTACTCAAGGCCTTCCCCTGAATCTGGTCGATGAAGTTTTGTCCGAACTTCTGCAGGGACGTGAAGGACCAGTGGGCGCTCAGGTCGGTGCCGTCGAGTTCAGCGTCTTTCTCGCCGTACTGGATGATGCGGAAGACACCGTGGCTGGGTGGCGTCCCTGCGGGGAACACGGGCGGGGGATTTCTTTGATTGCAGTAATTGATAAGTCATATCAAGGTGATTTTTTTTCTTTGCATTGAGCCAACAATTGTGGTTTATTTGGGGGATAAGCTTGTTTGTTTGTTTGGTGTTTAGATAACGACGAGTGCAAGGAGGGTCATTTGTCTGTGATTTAAGTCAGTGTGAATAAAAGGAATTATTTATTCAAGTTGATATTTGGGTGTTTTTGGCGATTCTTTTCCTATAACTACTTTTATTGCACAGGAATTCGTAGATTAATGAGAACTGCGTGCTTGAATTTGCATGTATATGTATACTTTCAAAAGAAAAATATATGATAAGAAGTTCAAAGGCAAAAGTGCCCTGCAGACCCATACAAGTGAGATGCGTCACACAGCCCCCTTCGTCCCTTCGTACCTGTCTTGAGGGCGCGCTTGGTGTACTCGACGCCCGTGAGGTAGTTGATGAAGGTGGACTTCCCGGTGGAGTATGGGCCCAAGAGAAGGACGAGCGGCGTGCCGAAGAGCTCGGCGTCGGACACGTGGCGGTTGGAGATGTCCTGGTACTTGTAGAGGCCTTCGAGGGGCTTGATGGCCGCCTCGTAGATCTTCTTGAGGTCCTTGAGCGTGGCCTCGGCGATGGGGTCGGTGCGCGCCGCCGCGTCCCTCGAGGTCTCGTCCAGGCCCAGGATGGCCTCGAGGTGGTCGCGGGAGCGGAAGGCAGAGGGGACCACCACTACCTGCGGGCGGGGGCGCTCGGGGTCTTAAGGAGGGCTCCGGTGCAAGGGTATTTAAGCAGTCAGCAGAAGGCAATACACATTTAGAGAAAATTAAAGTGAAGGGAAGGAGATATTCAGTACGAACGAAATCATTTGCGTTTTCTTCTGTGATTAGGAATTTGGGTCTGCATCGACGATAAAGAACAAAATCTGATGGTTGAGCAATATCAAAGAACGGGTATTAATTCTCCACAGGAAGAAAGAATGGAATCGAAATGAATAAAAATAGATATGATCAACGAGCTATTCGAATCGAAACACATTAAAAACATTTCATTAGCAACGATATCCATTACCTGCTCCTCCTCCTCCTGCGGTGCCTCTTCTTTAGTCTCTTCTGCCAATACCGGCTCCTTGGGGGCTTCGGGGGCATCAGCCAGCGGTTTACTATCAGCTGGGGCTTCCTTTGCAGGCTCACTTGGAACTGGAAAGGAGGAGCAGCAGTTGTAGAGGCGCTGATTATGCAAGGAAGAATCCAAATCCATCAGAGGGTTACGTATAAGGTGTCGGTGGAGCAAAGGAACTCTTAGGTTACATATACTACGCCGAAGAGATCGTTAAAGACTTTCTTAATCATGGGAAAGATTACTTTTTTTTTTTTTCATTTGAAATGATATCCATATATACATACATTTAAGAAAGGAATATATATTGGGAACTGAGTGTGATTCATTAGGGTTGGAACATCAATAAGCTTTTTTCATGCGTTTTTAATACAAATGTTCAGATTAATTCACTGCTGTTTAGACATAAACTATTATGTAGTTTTTGAAATCATATTTGGTTTGTCTTGCATCCTCGCGTCCAGATCAACTTGAGAACATTGCAGAGGAAATGTAGGGCGTATGTAACATAGGGATAAATGGAAGTAGGAGCAAAATTATCTCAAAATGAAGAAAAAAAACATGCAAACAATGGAGTGGGGAAAACCCTGGAACACTGGCAAAACAAGACAAATCATATATATTACGCAAAGAAAAAAGAAAATAAGAAAAGTAAGATTGATTACAAGAATTGCGAAAAGAAATAACAAATTCATAATTCTCTAATTACGAAACTTAGAACTATTCTAATTCACTCCATTGTTAAGTAAAGACCAGCAATCAGAATTTAGAAAGAATAGTGGGAATACCTACACATATGTGTGTAGATATATGTGTACATATACGTATGCATATACATATGCATATATACAAACATATATATATATATATATATATATATATATATATATATATATATATATATATATATATAATTATATATATATATATATATATATATATATATATATATATATATATATATATATATAATATATATATATATATATATCGTGTATACACACACATATCCTTAAAAGCACAGATATTACCATCTATGCTATTGCAAAACAACAAGAGAATTATCAAACAGCAGTGAATAAGGCAGTACTTTATAGGTATTAGTGTCTCAGATCAGCCCAGGGAAGTGCCGGCAAGATTGCATGAAATATCTTTATTTTTCTTTACAAAAAAAAAGACATATTCCGCCTTCCCTGAGCCTTTTCTTCCCATTTTACGTTTCACAGAAGAAAACAACAGCGGCACGAGCGAGGGCGTGAGGGAGGTGGGCGGGCGGGCGAGCGGACGGCGGGCGGGGAGCTGCCAACCAGAGTGTGGGGGGAGGAGGGGGAGGGGGGGGGGGAAGAAAGGTTACACTGGCGGCCGTCACGACACCTTCAGGCTCTGAGGTGCTCGGGACTCCTGCGTCTGCTTCATCCACCTCCCCAACTGTGTCCACATCCCCATCCTCTTTCTCATCACCTGAATCTTCATCTTCGCCAGCATCGTCATCTTCATCGTAACCTTCGTCATCAGTCCCTTCGTCATCAGCCGGTTCTGCGACTTTGGCTTCGTCGTCGTCGTCGTCGTCGTCTGATTCTTCATCTTCATCTTCATCGAGCTCCTCTTCGATTCCCTCGTCTTTATCTTCGTCGCTTTTATCATGTTTTTCGACTTTTTTCTCCAGTTCTTCCTCTTCATCTTCATCTTCATCTTCGTCCTCATCTACATCCTTTGAAGCTACTTCCTCTTCTTCGTCCTCGTCTTCCTCGTCCTCATCCTCATCTACCGCTTCTTCATCTTCATCGTCGTCAACCTCCTCTTCTTCTTCATCTTCGTCTACCTCTTCTTCTTCATCTTCCTCATCTTCATCTTCGTCAGTTTCTGCTTCCTCCTCCTCATCAAGCTCTCCAGTTGCCTTTTCTATCTCTTCTTCCTCATCTTCATCCTCGTCTTCTTCAACTTCGTCTTCGTCTTCGCTTTCGTCCTCATCACCTTCCTCATCAACCTCGTCTTCTTCATCTTCATCCTCGTCTTCTTCATCAACTTCTTCATCTTCATCCTCATCTTCTGCTTCAACTACTTCGTCTTCGTCTTCATCTTCATCATCATCTTCTGATTCAACTTCTTCATCCTCATCCTCATCTTCATCAGCTTCCTTATCCTCATCCTTCTCATCTTCTGCTTCAACTTCTTCGTCTTCATCTTCATCCTCATCCTCTTCGTCTTCTGCTTCAACTTCTTCGTCTTCATCTTCTTCATCTTCCTCCTCGTCTCCCTCTTCTTCAAGTTCCTCTGTTTCATCGTCTTCATCTATCTCTTCATCCTCATCCTCATCCTCATCCACCTCATCCTCATCCTCCTCATCCTCAGCTTCTTCGTCATCCTTGTCGCTTTCCGCAGCATCTTCCTCTTCATCCTCGTCCTCATCCGCTTCTTCCTCATCTACGAGTTGCTCACCTTTGTGTCATGGGCAAGTGTTAGTAAAAACTCCTGTGGCAAGACCAGCTCCATCCCTCAGGCCATAACCCACCTCTAGGGAGGTCCTGTGTCCTTACGTGACGTTTGGGACAAAAAGTCTATCAATACTATAATCTGCAAATACAGTCACAGACTATTCTGTATAAAAATACAAAGGAATGGAGGACTAATTCCCAATTCATACTAGACACTACTGTAGACCTCTTATGTGGGGTAAAGCAGATTTTTGTCTAATGAAGTGGAATTAAAACGTTCTCAAGGGATTTCTGCTACACAGAAATGTCCTAAGATTAAATCCTCTTTTAAGAAATCTGCTTACTGTATATCATGCAATTGAATAAAATAAACTACACAAATGTTTAACCAGATATAATGATATATTCATATAACATATATCTGTTCTGTATATGTGCATTTTCGGTTTCGATTCTGCCAAGGAAAGGGTGTCACGCTGTCATATTTGAAATTTGAAATGGTTACGTATAAACTCGATAACCCCATATGCCATTAAAAAGAATTTAGAAGGTAAGAGCATAAAATATGTAAATGCAGACAATCGCTGAGCTTTTATTCATTCGACAATGTCCAAAGAATCGAAATCGGTCATAAACCAAACTAAGCAATTTCAAACTCTTTGAAGCTGCTACAATATTAGCTAAGGATAGATCTGAGCCAAACTACCAAACCATCCACACCACATACCTGCCACTTTCTCCTCGGGAAACTTGGCCTTCTCTACAACAGGTTCTTCAACCGGTCGTTTAGGTTCAGGTGCAGGTTCCGGTGCCTTCACTACTTCTGGTGCAGGTGCAGGTTCAACTGGCTTGGGTGCTGGAGCAGATACTGGCTCAGGAACTGGTTCAGGAACTGGTTTAGGAGCTGCTACCGGTTCAGGAGCAGCAACTGGTTCAGGGGCAGCAACTGGTTCAGGAGCAGCAACTGGTGCAGGAGCAGCAACTGGTTCAGGAGCAGCAACTGGTGCAGGAGCAGGAACTGGTGCAGGAGCAGCAATTGGTTCAGGAGCAGCAACTGGTTTCGGGACTGGAGCTGGTTCTGGGACTGGAGCTGGCTTAGGTGCAACAGCTGGTTCAGGCACTGCAGGTGGTTTAGGAGCTTCAACTGGCGCAGGAGCAGCTTTTTTGTGTTCCGGGTGAGTCTGCCATGGCTGGGCCCACTTAGGGTCACGTTTTGAACCTTCAGGGACAGTTTCGAAAATCATCTTCACAAATTTGTCAATAATACCTCCAGAGGGACCTATAGGCTTATCTTCCTTAGGTTCAACGACCTCCACTACTTTTCTTGCATGCTCAGGGTGTGTCTGCCAAGGTTTGGCCCATTTAGGATCGCGCTTTGTTCCTTCTGGGACTGTTGGGAAAATAAGTTTGACAAACTTATCGATGAGTCCTCCAGAAGGACCAACAGGCTTCTCTTCCTTAGGTTCTTCTGCTACTTCTACCTTCTTTTTGGCATGTTCAGGGTGTGTCTGCCATGGTTGGGCCCATTTGGGGTCTCGAGCTGTTCCCTCGGGTACAGTTTGGAAGATTAATTTGACAAACTTGTCAATAATTCCTCCAGAGGGACCTATAGGCTTATCTTCCTTAGGTTCTTCTGCTACTTCTACCTTCTTTTTGGCATGTTCAGGGTGTGTCTGCCATGGTTGGGCCCATTTGGGGTCTCGAACTGTGCCTTCAGGGACAGTCTGGAAGATGAGTTTGACAAACTTATCAATGATTCCTCCTGAAGGACCTACAGGCTTATCTTCCTTAGGTTCCTCTGCTACTTCTACCTTCTTTTTGGCATGTTCAGGGTGTGTTTGCCAGGGTTGGGCCCATTTGGGATCACGTTTTGTTGTTTCAGGAACAGTCGGGAAGATCAGCTTAACAAATTTGTCAATGATTCCTCCCGAAGGCCCAACAGGTCCCTGTTCTACTTCCGGAACTTTCTCAACTTTTTTCTTGGCGTGCTCTGGGTGCGTCTGCCAAGGCTGTGCCCACTTTGGATCCCTCTCCCCCTTGGGCAAACCAAAGATTATGTTGATTATCTTGTCGAAGAAACCAGGTTCTGCAACGGCTGGCTTAGGTGGTGAAGGAGCAGGGGCAGCAGGTTGGGGAGGTGGGGCGACTGGCTGCGGTGGCGGGCTGGCGACAGGCTCGGGCTGGACTTCCACTGGCTTCGCTGGTTCCGGGGCAGACACTGGAGCTTCAACTGGAATAGAAAGGATTATTAACATTAAATCTGCAGGGCCTTTATTTTAAATGATATGCGTGACAGCCTCTTGCACAATTCTCTTTATTAGACTTATGTACGTGTCTCAGCATCTGCGTAGAGCACATACAGTCCCACAGATCAGGAGAATGTCAAAATCACAAAAAGGGACATAAAAGTTAAACCTCTCTGGAGAAATATAAGTAAATTTAGGGGAAATCATGACAAAAAAGGGTAAACTGTGAGAAAGAGAGAAACACATTCCTTTTATACTGAAGTGGAAACATGCAATATTATCCTGGAGGTCAAAATGAAAGGGTGAAAAAAGAACCTCTCAATTGAAAGAGATCATTCTTTCCTTCTGAAACGCCGTCGAAGGAATGCCAAACAGGTCAAAGGTCGAGATGGTGAAGGAAAAAAGGAAACACCGAAGCAGGACTGCCACTCCCATGGCCTCTTACTGTGCCGCGCCTCAGACGTCTCGCCCACTGACTCCTCTTTTGTCTCTCTTACGTCACTTTCCTCCTCCTCTGCCTCCTCTTTCGTCTCATCGTCCTCTTCCTCGCTTTCGGCTGCTTCTACATCTTCCTCTTCATCTGCTTCCTCTTCATCTTCTTCATCCTCCTCCTCCTCCTTCTCGTCTTTTTCATCCTCTTCATCTTCATCTTCCTCTACTCCCTCCTCTTCATCTTCATCCATTTCCTTCTCTTCCTCTTCCCCTGTTTCCTTCACCTCTTTTTCATCTTCCTCTTCCTCTGCTTCATCTTCCTCTTCATCTCCTTCCTCTTCGTCTTCCTCATCATCTATTTCTTCCTCTTCCTCTTCATCTACTTCTTCCTTTTCATCTACTTCCTCTTCGTCTTCCTCTTCATCTACTTCTTCCTCTCCCTCTTCATCTACTTCCTCTTCCTCTTCATCTACTTCTTCGTCTTCCTCTTCCTCTTCGTCTACTTTCTCTTCGTCTTCATCCACTTCTTCTTCTTCCTCTGTTTCTACCTCTTCCTCTTCATCTACTTCTTCGTCTTCCTCTTCCTCTACTTCCTCCTCTTTGTCTTCCTCTTCATCTACTTCCTCTTCCTCTTCATCTACTTCTTCGTCTTCCTCTTCCTCTACTTCCTCCTCTTCGTCTTCCTCTTCCTCTTCATCTACTTCTTTTCCATCGTCTTTTTCTACCTCTTCCTCTTCGTCTTCCTCTTCATCTACTTCATCTACTTCGTCTTCGTCTTCATCTACTTCTTCGTCTTCATCTTCATCTACTTCTTCCTTTTCGTCTTCCTCTTCATCTAATTCTTCCTCTTCCTCTTCTTCTCTTCATCTTCCTCTTCATCTTCTTCTTCGTCTTCATCTTCATCTACTTCCTCCTCTTCGTCTTCATCTCCATCTACATCTACTTCTTCGTCTTCCTCTTCATCTACTTCTTCGTCTCGTCTTCCTCTTCATCTACTTCTTCGTCTTCCTCTTCATCTACTTCTCTTCCTCTTCATCTCTTCGTCTTCCTCTTCATCTACTTTCCTCCTCTTCTCTTCCTCTTCACTTTTTTTCATCCTCTTTTTCCTACCTCTTCCTCTTCGTCCTCTTCATCTTTCTTCGTCTTCCTCTTCCTCTTCATCTACTTCTTCCTCTTCGTCTTCCTCTTCATCTACTTCTTCCTCTTCCTCTTCATCTTCATCTACTTCTTCCTCTTCGTCTTCCTCTTCATCTACTTCTTCCTCTTCGTCTACTTTCTTTTCCTCTTTTTCTACCTCTTCCTCTTCGTCTTCCTCTTCATCTACTTCTTCGTCTTCCTCTTCATCTACTTCTTCGTCTTCCTCTTCATCTACTTCTTCGTCTTCCTCATCTCATCTACTTCTTCGTCTTCCTCTTCATCTACTTCCTCCTCTTCGTCTTCCTCTTCCTCTTCATCTACTTCTTTTTCATCCTCTTGTCTTCTTCATCCTTCCTCTTTGTCTTCATCTTCATCTACTTCTTTTTCATCCTCTTTTTCTACCTCTTCCTCTTCGTCTTCCTCTTCATCTCTTCATTCTTCTCTTCATCTACTTCTTCGTCTTCCTCTTCATCTACTTCTTCGTCTTCCTCTTCATCTACTTCTTCCTCTTCGTCTTCCTCTTCCTCTTCCTCTTCATCTACTTCTTTTTCATCCTCTTTTTCTATCTCTTCCTCTTCATCTACTTCTTCTCTTTCGTCTTCCTCTTCATACTTCTTCTTCGTCTTCCTCTTCTCTACTTTCTTTTCTCTTTTTCCTACCTCTTCCTCTTCGTCTTCCTCTTCATCTACTTCGTCTTCCTCTTCATCTACTTCTTCGTCTTCCTCTTCAGTCTTCCTCTTCATCTACTTCTTCGTCTTCCTCTTCATCTACTTCCTCCTCTTCGTCTACTTCTTTCTTTTCCTCTTTTTCTACATCTTCCTCTTCGTCTTCCTCTTCATCTACTTCTTCGTCTTCGTCTTCCTCTTCATCTACTTCTTCCTCTTCCTCTTCGTCTACTTCTTTCTTTTCCTCTTTTTCTACCTCTTCCTCTTCGTCTTCCTCTTCATCTACTTCTTCCTCTTCCTCTTCGTCTACTTCTTTCTTTTCCTCTTTTTCTACCTCTTCCTCTTCGTCTTCCTCTTCATCTACTTCTTCGTCTTCCTCTTCATCTACCTCTTCGTCTTCGTCTTCCTCTTCATCTACTTCTTCCTCTTCGTCTTCCTCTTCATCTACTTCCTCCTCTTCGTCTACTTCTTTCTTTTCCTCTTTTTCTACCTCTTCCTCTTCGTCTTCCTCTTCATCTACTTCTTCGTCTTCCTCTTCATCTACTTCTTCCTCTTCGTCTTCCTCTTCGTCTTCCTCTTCATCTACTTCCTCTTCGTCTTCCTCTTCATCTACTTCTTCGTCTTCCTCTTCATCCACTTCTTCGTCTTCCTCTTCATCTACTTCTTTCTCTTCCTCCTTTTCTACCTCTTCCTCTTCGTCTTCCTCTTCGTCTACTTCTTTCTTTTCCTCTTTTTCTACCTCTTCCTCTTCGTCTTCCTCTTCGTCTTCCTCTTCATCTACTCCTTCCTCTTCGTCTTCCTCTTCGTCTACTTTTCTCTCTTCCTCTTTTTCTACCTCCTCCTCTTCGTCTTCCTCTTCATCTACTTCTTCCTCTTCGTCTTCCTCTTCATCTACTTCTTTCTCTTCCTCTTTTTCTACCTCTTCTTCTTCGTCTTCCTCTTCATCTACTTCCTCTTCGTCTTCCTCTTCATCTACTTCCTCTTCGTCTTCCTCTTCATCTACTTCCTCTTCGTCTTCCTCTTCATCTACTTCTTTCTCTTCCTCTTTTTCTACCTCTTCCTCTACTTCCTTTTCCTCTTCGTCTTCCTCTTCATCTACTTCGTCTTCGTCTTCGTCTTCCTCTTCATCTACTTCTTTCTCTTCCTCTTTTTCTACCTCTTCCTCTTCGTCTTCCACTCCATCTACTTCCTCTTTCTCTTCATCTACTTCTTTCTCTTTATCTACTTCTACCTCTTCGTCTACTTCTTCGTCTTCCTCTTCATCTACTTCTTCGTCTTCCTCTTCATCTACTTCTTCGTCTTCCTCTTCATCTCTTCTTCGTCTTCCTCTTCATCTACTTCTTCGTCTTCCTCTTCATCTACTATCTACTTCTTCGTCTTCCTCTTCATCTACTTCTTCGTCTTCCTCTTCATCTACTTCTTCGTCTTCCTCTTCATCTACCATTTCATCCTCTTCTCCTACTTCTTCCTCTTCATCTACTTCTTCCTCTTCGTCTTCCTCTTCATCTCCTTCATCCCCTTCCGTTTCCTCTGTATCGCCTCCCATCTGTTCTTTTTTCTTTTTATCTACTTTTACCTTCTTTTCGTCTTTATCTACTCCCTTCTTTTCATCTACCTCTACATCAACTTCCTCTTCCTCTTTGTCTACTCCTTTCTCTTCCTCTATTTCTTCATCTACTTCCACCTCTTCCTCTTTATCTACTTCTTTCTCTTCTTCACCTTCATCTGCTTCCTCTTCTTCCTCTTCATTTGTCTTTTCCATTTCACCTACTTTCTCTTCTTCATCTTTATCTTCTCCTTCTTCCTTCTTTTCCTTTCCTTTTTCTACTTCCTTCTCTAACTCTTCATCGTCTTCGCTTTCTTTATCTTCCTTTTTATCAGCTTTCTTTATTTTCTCTTCATCAACCTTTTTATCTTCCTTTTCTACAATTTCCCTTTCTTCTTTTGCACCTTTTGCGTCATCCTTAATTTTGACATCCTCATTTCTTTCTTCTTTCTCTGCTCCTTTTATCCTATCTTTTTCAATTACTTTTTTCTGATCTTTATCCCCTCTTTCCTCACTTCCTTCCTTTAGCTTACTCTCTCTTCCAACTACATTTTCGTCTTCTTCGTCTTCGTTAGATGAAACTAGTAAGAAAGTAATAAACAGATGAAAGAGAAAAGAGAAAGCAAAATAATGATAAAAAAGCCTCAACAGTTGTTTAAGATAAAGAGATGTTACGCCTTTGTTATGGTTAAAGCGTGAACTAAACTAAATTAAAGATAAAGATAAATGAAAGCGTCAGAAAATAAAGCTAAACTAAATTGTGAGATTCTCTAAAGTACAAATAGCTTCAAGGCATTTCTAAGCTAAGTCATGCAGCGTCTTGTTAAAATTCTGATACTTTGAAACACCTTCGACAGGTATTAGTCTTCTATGACCGTGTTTCAAGTTTTTGTTCCTTCTCATGCATTTATTAATATACTTGTATACTAGTTTTACACAGCAACAGTACAAATTATATGCAATATGCAGCTAATCTTCCTTTAAAGTAATTATACATATAGACGCATATATATATATATATATATATATATATATATATATATATATATATATATATATATATATATATATATATATATATATATATAATATATATATATATATTACATGTGTGTGTGTGTATTTTGCGTGTGCGCGTGTGCATAAAATATGTATTTTTCTGTATATATACACACATATATATGTGTGTGTGTGTGTGTGTGTGTGTGTGTGTGTATGTGTGTGTATGTATGTATATGTGTATATATATATATATATATATATATATATATATATATATATATATATATATATATATATATATATATATATATATATATATATATATATATATATATATATGTAATATATATATTTATGTATGTATGTATATACATATACATATATATGCGCATAACATACATGGTCATGCTTTTACCGCAAGCCTGCGAGCGTGCTTCCAGCGCTATAGGACCTACCTGGAGGCTCCGGGACGACCGGTGCGGCGGGCGCGGGTGGCGGCGCTGGCGCTTCGGCAACTGGCTTCGGTGGTTCGGGTTCAGGTTCCGGTTCGATTGGTTCAGGCTCTATGACGGCGGGCGGTTCCTTGGCCACTTCGGGTTCCGCTTGAGGAGGAGGAGGGACTTCGGCCGGGACTGGAGCCTCCTCGACCCTCTCTGCTTCCACTGGGTGAGAGAAGAGGCTGTGAGATTCGAGGGAAAACGAGGCGTGAGTGGGACATTGCAGGGCGGACTATGATAAAACGATATGCGTGTATGTACTTGCTACAAGCCACAGCTAAAGCTACACGCACTACCTCGAGCTATGGAGGGGCATGGGACGTCGACACTAATGGTGGCCCAGGTTCTTTAGGTAACTAGATCACCATTAGTTTTTTTCTCCCTTTTGTTCAGGAAACAGGACGCCAATACGTTTATTTTTCGATTAGAGTAGCAATATTTGTACTTTAAAGCTTCGAAAAAAGTGTGCCTGGCAGGTTTCGCCTTTGAATTTTGTTTATACCATAATTGTAATTTGCTTATTTCCTTGAATTAAGGACTTTTCATGCAGGACAACAGGCAGGGTATTACTTGGGGTAGCTTTACCATGCACGTGTACTACGTAATGCTGGTAATAATGCAGCTAAGCAGATAGACATTTCAATAGACAGATGCTTAGTAAACAAGCTGCAACTTCTACAATGAATGTTGAACGAGAATTCTTACCATGTCTTGGCCCTTTGACAACCCATTTGGCTAACTCATCCTATTCTGTATCTGGGTCCTATTATCTTTTTTATCTAATTCTTCTATTACATCTCTGCTTACTATTTTTCCCGGATTTAGTTTTGTGTATCTTTTTTCCCTTTTTTCCCTTCTGTTTTATTTGTACCTCTTTTCAGGCCTCATTTCTTACCGTTTCTCTTTTTTTATCTCCTTACTATCCCCTTCCTTCTATCCCCGCTTCAGTCTGCCTCTCCATCCATTGTGGGTTTTTTTTATCATCTTTCTTTCCTATCTTTTATTATCTTTCCCTTCCTCTTTATCCCGTCTACATTTTACCTTTCACTCTATCCCTGGTCCCTCTTCACCTATCTTTCCTTCTACCTCTCTTTCCTTCTCTTCAACTCTGTCTATTTCCTCCTATCTCCCTCCACTCCACCCTTCTATCCCTTTAACCCCCCACCCCAACTCTCTTTCCTATCCCTACCCCCTCCCTCCTCCCCTCCCACCCTTTATCCCCTTCTTTCCCGAACCTGACCCCCATCCCCACCTCCTCCCACCATTTTAAAAATCCGTTTCACTACCTCCCTCTATCCCTCCTATCCTTCGATCCCGTATCCCTCTATCCCTCCCCATCCCCACACCCTTCACCAAAAACACCCCACCCACCCCTCCTCATCCAAAACCCTCCCTCCTACCTACCCCCATCTCAAACCTCCCTCCTACCCCACCCCTCCCCAACTCAAACCTCCCCCCAACCACCTCCTCCCCATCCCATATCCCTCCCCCCAATCCCCATACCCCTCCAGCCACCCCCCTTCCCCCCTCCCTCCTCTGACGCCTACCATGGTCACTGTGTTGCAGGTTGTCTGACGGTGTCTCTCCCGCGATGATAGCTTTAGCCGCGAGATCCCTGATAGTGGCGTCAATGTGGGGTCTACATTCCGTATGAGGGGTTTTCAC